CCTCCCCCTCCTTCTCTGTCTTTGACCTTTAGAACTCCATCTTCTGACACTCACACATCATTCTGTGGTCTTTCCCTCTCTTGGTCTTTGGTGTCTATCACAAGAACAAATTTCCTTCTCTGTCTCATGCCATTGTCTTAGGCTCAGTGAGGCCCTTGCTGGTTTCCGGCATTTCTTACAGAACACCAGTGAATACTGCAAACCCCATAGCATGTACCATAAAGGCCTTGACAAACATTCTCCTAGGTGCCTGTGTGTGTGCTGCCAGTTCTTGCACTTGAGGGCCTTAACTAAAGTATAATTGTAAAAGGTGAAAGATTTATACGATCTGAAGAGAAACCAGAGTATACATACTGGTTTCAAAGTTGTAACTTAACATTTGATTCGTGTAAGATGATACAATTTTTGTTGTTTTTTTTATTTCTGATAATAGTATGACAGTTTTAATTGGAGAAACATATTTCATGGAATGACACAGTTTCTCTTCTCATATTTTAATAAACAGTCTTAATCTTGAATCTCATGTGACTATTTTTTTAATGAATTTAAGACAGGGTCTACAAGGTATACAGGGTCTTACTGCAAAGATCGGACTCGTAGTGATTCTCCTGCTTTCAGCCTCCCAAGCGCTGGGATCACAGGCGTGCACCCCCACACCCAGTCTCCATTGTCATTGCAGTGCGCTCAGGGGGTGGGGCAGGCATGGCATGCGGGGGATTGAAACCTGGCCGCTGTGCTCTGCCACAGCAGGCGCTTTAGTCCCCTGACCTATCTGGTCAGCCCACATGTGACTATTTTCTATGTCATTTGATACTTCCAACATATTCAATTTTTATTTTTTAAAAGATAACCTAGAGCAAAAAATGCATGACATGTACTTATCTTTTAAATATATTAATGTATTGTGATATTGAGATGTATAAATTAAAACTAGAAATCAATATTACTATATGCTTTCCTACAATGCCTCAAAGTCGTAGTGCTTAGCACTGTATTCTGCTTTTGCTTAGTTGTATTCTTCCTTACAGGCTCCTGTCTTTCTCGTCCTTCTTTTGCACTGATTTTTTTCTGCCATTTCTTCACAAGTTCAACCAATCATACCTCCTGCTGCTTCTCCTTTCTTTCCTAGTGTTGAAAGTTCTGATTTCATTCAGAGTTCTGAGTTCAACGGCCCCGTCCATGGAGCCTTTCCTGAGCCTTTCCTGACAATGCGCGTCAGCGGGTCAGTCTCCAGTCACTGTCCCTGCTGTGATGGCTTGTGTCTATTTGTCTTCTTAAAATCTCACGCAATCATCTGTGAGTCCTTTGAGAGGTGGCTGAGTCTGGGGTGAGTGACGCTGGGATCCAGGGTATTGATGGTGCAGTGCTAGGATTAGGGCTACACCACCCTAAGTGTCAGTGCTACCTGCTCCAAGGTGGGGAGCCTACGTAGGATGCAACATACAGAAAGAGCATTGTCAGGTGTTGGTCACTGCTTGCTGCTAGTTACTCCTTTGCAGCCTTCTGCAGTCATGAGCTGTTTCTCCTGTGTGAGGCCTTCCTACCCTCCTGCACTGACTTGGAGTCAGCTATGAACTGAAATTTCTACAAACTGTAAGCTATGATAAGCCTTTCCTCCATTGACTTTGGGTGTTTGTATTTTGTCTCAGCAATGAAAGGAATAAGCAAGGCAGGATTTGGTACTGAGTGGGGTCATTGCTGTGGCACTACCTGACCATACGTTTCAGGAGCCTCTGGACCTGGCTTGGAGGGAGAGTTTTTGAAGCCTGGAGATGTAGGCTGAGGAAGCAGCCCCGGAATGCTGGCAAGAGCTCAGAAGACCAGAAGTCTGCAAGGAAGGCTGGCAGTAAAGACTGTTAGCAGGAGGTCTCTGCTGGGAAGAAGGACTGTACTAACTGACGGATTCCTGACTATGACTTACGCATCGGCAGACAGTTGGTGTGCATTCTCGTTGTGTCCAGAGAGTTTGCCTGAGACTGGACTAAAGAACAGCAGACTAAATAATGTGGCAGAAGAAATTTCAAGGCAGTCTAATGCTGAGGCAGTGACATGGCTACTGTTGGGGACTCTTAGTTACTCTGTGTTGAATATCAAGCATAAAAATTCCAGCATAATGATTTCAAATATTGTGAAGTTGGCTAGAAAGGAAGATACAGTCAAGGTATGAACAGAAATGACAGTGCAGAAGACAACATGGCTCTGGAGAGGGAACAGAGCAATGGAAAAATGGCCTGAGGATATTCAGGAAATGAGCAGGGCTCCAGCCTTTTCAGCCTCAAAGTTGCAAAGAGGAATGAATTTGCTTTAAGAAGAGGCCCAGAGCACCCTGATCCAGAATAGCAGCAGCCCAGAGAATCTGTTTCTTGGGTTTTGAACATTGGACACCCAACCTTTGGGTTGGGTTTTGGCCCTTAGACACCCAACCCCTGCAACCCAAAAAGAAGGCAGCACGGCTACTGTGCCAGCTGGAACCAGATCTTGACGTCATGCACATGAGGTTTATTTCAGGTGTATGCACAATATCATAGTAGTGGGGCCAGAAGGCCTTCCCCAAGCTTCACAAAAGACAGGGAGGCCAGGAGGTACGCCCATGGGAGGGCAGTGTATGAAGATGTAAGTGTGAAGTTGAAGATACAGTCAAAATCCACAAGTTTGGTGAAGCCAGAATCATAAATCATCTGAGGAAAACTGCATGAAGAGAGCAAAGGTGTCCTAAGAGAGAAGCCCCGAGAGTGACAACACCAGCACTTCCACGCGTATGGAGCTTACAAGTCCTTCGGAATTCACAGCTTGCCACAGATTGCCTCAAATACTCAACATGGAACTCCAGTACTTCATGTTTACACAGCTGGATGTGGACTGGCTTTAGTCCTTTCTGTCCACCTAAGTGTCCCTTTTGCAATGGCAATGCTTGTCTTGTGCCATCATATGCTGGGAAGTGATCAGATTTTTCATCTTTAGAGAGGATCATAGCTAAGAACTTAACTCCAGCCTCAGCAGAGACATTATACTTGGACTTTTCAGCAATGCCAGAACTGTTAGGACTTTGGCAACTCTTGGAGATGGACTAGATGCCTTTTGCAGAAAGGGAGGTGCATGAGTCTTTGGGGAACCAAGGATAACATACCACATGCTGTGTCTAAATGTCCCCACCAAGCCTCCTATGGTCATAAATGAGGCCTTTCAGAAGTGCCTGGATCTAGAGTGTGTGATGCTGGATTTAATACTGGGCAAGTGCTAAATGAATCCAGTGGTTGGCTTGGTGTAGTTCTGAGTGTAGAAAATGGGGAGACCCACCCTCGCTTGCCCACTGCCCGCGCACAGGGTGTGTAGCCTACATATGCTATAAAGGACAGAAAGAAGGCTGGTGTCAGCGCTGGTAGCTCTCTGCTTGCTTCCTTATTTCTTTGCTGCCTTCACCCTGTCAGAAGCTGTTCGTTCCCTGTGATACACTCTGCCGTGCCGCCCTGCCTTTGAGCTAGCCGGAAGTCAACTACAAACTGAAATCTCTATAAACTGTGAGGGAAATGAACCTTCCCTCATTTAGCTTTGGATGTCATTCTCAGAAAAGTGTAAAACATTACATATAAGTGAATTAGACACACAGGCCTGAATATCACATAGCATCTCTCACATGAGTAAGGCAAATGGAAAACAGAAGCATCATGAAGGCTGCATGGAAGGAATAGAGGGTATTGATCCCCTGCAAATCAAGGACAGTGCCGAAAACAGAGTGGACACAGTGTGAGAGGAAGTAAGGGTTGAAGAAGGGGGATTGCCATGTGCAGGAACCTGAAAACCTCATTGAAGGAAAGCCTTCCGTGTCGCAGACTTGAGCTACGTGTGACAGTAGCAGACGTACATGGCTGACACTGACAAAGGATCTACACACGGCAGCACAGGGCTTCAGGGTAAATCCTGAGGGGACGTGACTGACCTTGGCAGATGCAAAAGTTACATTTCTTGTTATATAGGTCTTGCTTTATCTTGGTCTTAACCATCCAGCAGAAAAGTATAAACGTGAGGTATAAAAAGTAAAGCCATATTAATACGCTGAGCTGTAAAAGGCTCAAGTCAACAAGTTCTGATATTGCCAGTCATTCGGATAACCCACTACTATTATGGGCTACTGCACTATATTGGAATATTGTGCAGAATTCATGCACCTACAAGATTTAAATGTCAATGGAATACCCATCCCTGACAAAACAAAACAAAAAAAGAAAAGCAGGATACAGATGAAGGACCATTTTGTATCTGCATATTCAAAATAGTTGGGATAGATGTACAGCTACTTTCTCTTAATTCAATGAATAGCAAGATTTGTTCTAATAGTGTTTGTGGACAAGATATCATGTCTGCATCTTGTACAATGAATAATCAATAAGACAACAATATGCATTGTGTTAATTATTGAAACTGTCCTACTAATCGGTTTTGAAACTGTCTCATTGCTATTTGTTTCTCAATAAAGTTATTTAAAAATAAAATTAAATAAATAAAAAGAAAATGAAAACAAAAATGGAGAGAGGTGCCTGAGACACAGAAGAAGAGAGGTCAGAAGGGGAAGACATTTTAAAAAGAGATTAGCTGTATTCTGTACATAGACCTGAGAGACAAGATGTAAAAAAAATTTTATGTACTGCGAATGTGTACTAAGAAAATAAAATTAAATAAAAAATCAATATAATGTGAATTAACATTTAACATTTAATTCATACTTGACCTGTGGAAACGTGGTTGATAAAAATAATTGTGTTACACTTTCAATATATTTCATGAAAATCTTCTGTGGGTGATCAAACGTCATTATCACTTCTGTTACAGAACAGGAGCTGAAGGTCAAAGAGGACACATCCTTCATCTAAATTTGAAGTGAAGCAACCTTGTTCATAGAACAAACGTGTAAACATGACATTTGATTTGCCTGCCCCAAGAAAGTGGTCAGTATCTTGGGAAGCACAGTACGTAGAGGGCCAGCGCTCACACGTCCACTCTGCACCTGCCTTGGGATCGGGCACCTTCTAGCTCTTTGATCTGCAGACACAGTGCGCTCTGCCACCCTGCCTGCCCTGTGGCTGCAATATTAGGGAAGAACTGAGTGCACTGTCAGCCTGGGTGTCGAAGGAGCTACCTCCACCAACACTGTCCTTTCCTCACGGGGATCAGTGGGGACCAAGACCCCTTCATGAAGCCTTTCTGTGGACAGCCGACTTGAAACAATGACAGTGCTGTGAGGAGACAAGTGACCCAAATATCTCAGATGTCTGTTCCAGCCATGATGGCCAGTGGCTGTCAGTGTTACTCTTGGACATGAGTGCAAAGCAGCAATAGGCAGTGAACAGCAGGGCGGGTCCTTGTTCCTGCTCAGTGCTGGGCTGGGCTGAGCGTGACACAGTCCTGCAGTGCTGGCAGCCGTACACTTTGGCTAAATCATGGAGTGCTTCGGTGGCGATTCTTGCAGGAAAACCTGAAAGTGTCTGAATGCAACGGCCTGAGGAGTGTGGGAAGCACATCTGAGCCTCAGTGACCCCCATTACGAGTCTTGTGCTCCCTGGGTGGTCCTTCGCATCATGCGAACAACGCAAGTGATGTGTTCTGGTGAGATCTGAGCTGGGCTTGCCTTCTAGTGCTCAGAGAGGGACAACACAGCAATGGCAGAAATGGGCAGGACTGAACTTTGTCTCCGTCCAGTGGTCAAATGTTGGTGATGGACCCAATCTTAGAGGAGCTAAGCAGTTTAGGACTAGAGACAGACATCACCCTGGTCAGACTGCGAAGACTGGCATAAAGACTTCATCCATGAACGAGCGCTCTTGGGCAAGCATAGCAGAACGAGAAAGTTGAGGAGTCTCTCATCTCACCAGTCACACTTGAAACAAACTGCCAGGAACTGATACCATACTGATCAGTATAGGAACATCTCAGAGAGATTAAAGCAGAGATTAAAAACAAGGCTTTTGTTCTATTATCTTGAAGACATTAAATAGATTATTCAATAATAAATTTCACACAGATTGAAGCAAGTTTTATATAAAGCAAAAATTAATATGTTGAAAGACTATTCCAACAAATTAAAATACCTTAAAAAATCAATTGGAGGGACCCTGCACTGGTGGGACCTACTGGTTCCAGCCCAGGCACAGCATGGGTGAGACCCTCTTCCACCCCCTTGGGATGCTCCAAATCACTCCGCAGCACCTCCCTTACCCCGCCCACTGAGCAGAAATATTTGCCGCATTCTGGGAACTCCCAGACCCAGGCCTAGCCCAGGCCCAGTGAGTGTGTGGGAGAGCTTCCAATTACCCTGCACCTGTGGGACCTACTGGTCCCAGCCCAGGCAAAGCATGGGTGACATCCTATTGGGACACCCTCATCACTCCATAGTACCCCCGCACACCCTGTCCAGAGAGTAGGAATTTCAGTCACGTTCTGGGAACCCCATGATCCAGTCCTAGTTCAGGCCAGGTGAGTGTGGGGGAGAGGTGCCTCTACCTCCTACTCCACCTTGTCCTCTCCAGACTCAGCTCAGGCCTGGCATACAGGCCTGGGGTGAAACCCTGCAGCTGCAATCCCTGCAGAGAGTATAGGGGACAGAACCACCCAGCTAGTCCAGGAGCAGAACATCTTGCCAGAGGGGCACAACAGGTTCACACCCAAGGGCAGCAGAGGAAGGAGAATAGCACAGCAGCCAGACCCAAGCCAGGCACAGCTGGATAAATCCAAATTTGTAGATCTGCACCTGAGCTTCAGTAGGTGCTAAAGTTATAACTTCAACAAAGATCTATAACAAAGGTCAGAAGACAGTGTTACATAAAATGACAATGATAAGGAGCAAAATGCAATCTCAGAACCCAAGCCTACCCATAACAAGTGCAGAGGACACTAACACAGAACAAAGTGGAAATCACACAGCTGAAAGCAATGAATCAACGGCTTCTGAAATAAAGAAACAGTTGCAGAAAGGTATAGAGGAACTCAGATTGGAAATGAAAAAAGAAATCCCTGAATTAATAACATCTGCGGTAAGGAATTAAATGCAGAAACATGGAGGAAACCGAATGCCTACCCAGAACAAGAGCAGAGGACACTAGCTCAGTTCAAATGTATGAATTAATAGTATCAATAGCAAATAAGCAACAGCAGAAAGTTATAGAGGAACTCAGAGTGGAATTCTTCTGAAAAAAAAAAAGAATTCTCAGAACTCATAGCATCTGAAGTAAAGAATCAACTACAGAAACATAGGGAGGATTGACAATTTGAAAAAAAAACACTGCAATAAAAGAATTTATAACTGCTTCTAAAGAAGACATTGATTAAAAAAATAGAGAAGATTAGAAAAATGACAGATTCCTTGAATGAGCAATACAGGAAAGAAATAGATCGCATGAAGCAGAGTCAAAGAGATATAGAGGAAATTAAAATCTCAATCACAAGCTTGCAAAACCATTTAAGTGAAAGTGAAGACAGAGTTTCAGATCTTGAAGATGCTGGTGCAGCTAGTGAAAAGGTAAGAAAGGATCTCTTAAAAACAACTAGGATGCAGGAAAAAATAATCCATCACCTGCAAGATGATGCAAAGATGAACAATGTGAGAATAATAGGCATGAATGAGAAAGAAGGAGTCAATACAAATGACATTAAAAAAATATGGGCAGAAGTAATAGCAGAAAACTTCCCAAATATGAGGAAACAATCTGACATTCAGGTAACCAAAACATACAGAACAACAAGTAACCTCAACCCAATCAAAAACACACCGAGACATACAATAGTCAAGATTCCAGATATTCAGCACAAGAATAATATACTGAAAGCTGCTAGAGAAAAGAAGCAGATCAAATTCAAAGGAAAACCCATCAGAATTACAGCTGACTTCTCTTCACAAACCATGAAGGCAAGAAGAGCATGGAGCAGAGTACTTCAAGTCCTCCACGAAAACAAATTCCAGCCCAGACCGCTATACCCTGCAAAACTCTCTTTCAAGTTTGATGGAGAAGTGAAATACTTTCATGACAAAGAACAACTAAAGAATTTCATGATGACAATCGAACCCTACACAGGCCACTGAAAGATGTTCTAGACAGGGATGAAAATGATCAGAACTTGACGAATGAGATCAGAAGCAACCAACTAAATAGGGCAAGCAATTAAACACAGGAGAAAGGAGTAAACGACAACAGGTAAATAACATGTCAATTGTAAATCAATACATCTCTATTCTAACTATCAATGTAAATGGACTCAATTCACCAATTAAGAGAAATAGACTGGCACTGTGGATTAGGAAACAAAATCCAACAATATGCTGTAT